ACTGCGAAATATAAGTTAGTTACTTTTCAACTTGGTATTAAACAATTAAGACATTTCTGAGTTAGGTAAAATAGCGTTTGACTTCCCTGGTTGAAGATCAAAGAGTCAATCAATTGTTTATCTCATGCTTTATATATATTGTTGCAGGAAATTGTAGTAATGTCTCAAAAAAACTGCGCAATTTTGAAGATTTATGCTCAATATGTAAAAACGTAAAAGTAGTATTGGGTGACGGTGAATTCAAGTAATTTAGAAGAAATGGTGTAAAATTATAGCTTATTGAGAAGCTAACCAAAATACGGATTCAACAATCAGAATTCGTTTTCACATGTTAAAGTGAATACTTGTTTGCTCCAATTGAATCATTTTCAAGTACAATAAACAATTTTAAATAAACGAGAACCTTTTAAAGGTGAATGACTAATCCACCCTGTTTTTGAGCTAACTTTAATTCAATTTAGTTCGTTTAACCTACGATTCTTTTTCACAGAAAATCTACCGTAGTCTGACCTTAAGACGTCGATTTATGGAACGCTAAATGGAAACGCACCAATTGTGAATGGGTCTCCTGGACTTTGCTGAGCAGGTGGGACTTTCAAACTCTGTCAAAGTTTATACGGCGTCACGTAGTTAAGCCTACTCTTTTGAGTGAAACAAAAAAAAAACACGTTTTTCAAAGTTTCCGGTAAATTGTCAAGATGGTCAGGTTTGATTACACGAGCCAAGTTACATCGGGAATGTAAGAAGCACGTAAAAAGTAATGAAACGAATTGCATATTTAAATAACATCCAAATGTTACAGCTAGTAAGGTTGTTCAAAAAATCGCCACCATATTATAGGTACCGGAGGGATTTCTATGCACGGTGAATGTGAATAGAAATGTGGTAGCTGGCGGCGCCCTTGATCAGAAACATGCCTATTCGAAAAGAGGGTGAGGACCCAGAACTAGTTTCAGACAATTGTAGGCCTTATGAATGTTCAGTCGGGTTTAAAGCAATGTTCTTGGATCTCCAACACATGCGCAAGAGGCAGTAGAATCAGTAAACAGTACTGCAGCACACAAAAACACTGCCAGTTTAGTTTATAAATATGTTAGCTTCCACCTCTTACACATTAAATTTCCCCTACAGAAGTTGCATGCGATATGGATAACCATTTGAACATTTCATTTAAATGCCCAATGATCATAAAATCTTAACCAGACATAAATGATTACTATTTGAAGTGACTAAGGCGATGCATAAAACCACGGCCTCTTTGCTGGATACTTCAGATTTATTAGCGCTGTTCCAAACTATTTTATTCTGCCTATAATCCCCGTAAGTACAGTAGAACTATTTAAAGGGAAAAAATGTATTCGCATACAAGACCTATATGTGGAGAAACAACACTTTTCTTCGGACCAGATACCCATGAACAACGTATTTTTCTTAATACACCAATCCCATGATCTTCAAACCTACCAAAATGACTGTTATTTTCTTAGTATTGCTGTAGAAATAAGGAAATACAGCGCCTTCTCCTCGGTTAATTTATTTTCTAATTATTATTCTTTTTAGTGCTTACCTTTCATGACCAAGTTAATAGACACACCTCTACGAGTAGACTCCATGGTAATTTAATCGGCATTAAGCTCCACACTGTTTTTATTGTGGTTCTAGCATGCCAAAACCCTACTAAACAGAATAATCTCAAGCAGAACACTTTTGACCTAAGTAGCGAATTGGTCATCAAATAAAGCAGAAAGGCTACCGAAGCGTAGTTTGTCCTAACGCATACCATACCTTATCTTCCTAACACATCCAATCATTCGTATTCTTGGCACGGTTTTGTAACTTACTGCTGGGACCATTTAGAAATACTGCTAGTTACCTTCCCTAGCACCAATCCGCAGTTAATAAAAATCAGTGAACTAAAGCCCTTGTTTGGGATAGAAATCACTAAAACGTAGACAGCTGCATCATTTCAATAATTCTATTCATTTTCCATAAAACGTAGTAGAAATTTGTAAGGAATATCTCTTTAATAAAAAAGACCTAGTATTTTTCCTGATAAATTTTTATTCGACATTTGTTATAAAGCGCCAAATTCAGTTGGAAAATCGAAGCACAAGCTCCACAATTAATCTTGTTTTAGACAAAATTAAAGTGTGTAATCAGTAAACGCTTACTCCAAGCTTTTCACCCTCTCCTTTCGTCCTTCAAATGAGACCTGCTTGTGATAGGCACCCCCAAGAAAACCCTTTAGGAGGCGTCTTTCTGGCCGCTCGGGTCCGCTACTCTTGCGTCGTGGCGAGAAGCACTGTTGATGGCAAAAGGCGGCCTCGCTTTCCTCAATTGCGTTGCTAAGCTGGTGCAACAGCACGTTCCGAACCAGATTTTCCGCCTGACTACGCACCATTAGTTCCCTTCGACTTGAGCTGGGGAGAGAGCTAAGGCTACCTGGGCTAGAAGCACCGTCTTCGTGAGTGAACGATGTTAGGAAGCCCTTACAGCTATTCAGGGAGTCGTAGGCACCAGAGGAACAGGTGTCGCCTGCAGCCAGGGATGACTGCGAGACCTAAAATGAGGCATTACTTATTTATAGTTGAAGTTTTAAACTTAAGGCAAGGTTGTCGTGGGTTGCTCTACCTGATGTTATCATGACATTTTAATAAAGCCAACAAATGGGTCATTTTATTCGGGATTTTATCAAAATCAACATTTTCTATGAGAGATTAGTGAAATATGAAGTCTTTAATTTTTGATATTTATCCTGCTACCGGCTTTAATCACTGAAATTCACATAAATAATTATG